TATAAATCAATGTGTAATACTTACATAAGGTTCTAGGCGAAGACTAGTATTATTTATTAATGCATCAGTCATTTCCAATATTGACTCTAATACGGTATTTTTTTTAATATTTTGTCCAATCTATAACGATCAAAGTATGATTATTGAATGGAACAACCCACAACAAAACTATATCCAAAAACTTTACCTGTTCACAAATAAATCGTACAAAATATGGAAGTAACTGTGCTAACCCGGTATCATGTTGAAGACTATAGAGAACAGATACTTTCATTTTACTATCACCCCCTTTTATGGCCTTTGTGACCTTATCATAAAACACCTTCAATTCTTGAGAGATTACATGTTGAACTAAAGGTTTAAGTTCAATATCAGGTGTGCCGGTCACCACATCATTAGGAACTTGAACAATGGCATTTGAAGGAGCCTTTTTACGACTACTTTCTGGTATAGTATCTAATATGAAAAAAAATATAAGCACACACCAAAATTGTATTATTGACAGATATATAATCCATACCTTCAATAGGTGGGGGAGGATTATGAGGTATTGCTGGCTGGACACCTTCTACAGCAAGCCAGTGGGCTTTATATGCAAATTTGAAGAAGAATATATATTATATACCTATAATTAATTAAAGTTCGAAAAATCAAACAGAAAGCCTACCAGTATACGTGACTTCCGCGGGTAATTTTGGCATAGGAGAGGCAATAAGGTTTTCAAATTCATACTCATCATCATCCATAAATAACAATTCTTGTTGACCTGCTAGAGTGCGTTGAAATTTGAAATTATCATTTAAAGTAAATCCGTATAGCGGCTATATATAGGAAGATTTGAGTGATAATTTATAGTACAAAGCAATATATTAATAATTTTAATTGAAACAACATTAAATGATCGAACTTACATCTACATTAACAACGCGAAGAGCATTATTTATGTCCTCGCCAGTAAGTTTTGTACGTTTCGAGTGACGCATAAACTTATTGGCTTCCTGTACGGAAATTAGTATTGTAGTAAATCAACCAGCACTTTGATTACATTTCCAGCTATTGAAACACTTTCTCTACCTGTATAATTTCATGGATTCTATACTCGGCGTCAAGGGCTAAGGCAGTCGCTGCGTTGTCTTTAAGATTTGTGATTCCGATCGAATCAGCCGTATTCTAAGATCGAAAATTGAAAGATTTGTCAGAAAATAGTAAAATGATGCAATTTCATGAAAACAGCTATACAACCTTAATGGTATCTTTAGGAAAAATTTTGTCCATTTTTTATTATCAGTAATAGAAATTGTAAAGAAATTATTCGTTTTATCATGCCAATAACGACAGAAGGAAAAAACGACTCGTAAGTTATGAAATAATCAACCAATCAGCTCCACCTAAATACGATCATAATCAACTTTTGCATTACGTAGACAATATACACATACACATACATAACGATAAGATATAATAATTATACGGCGCAGTGTTGTCATGTCTACTATGTCCAAGACTTTTTTTACCCATGTCCACGTCCAAAAGTCCAGTGTCCACAATTGTCCAAAGAATATTTAGGTTTTAAATTTAATAAATTAGTTTAAAAAAGATATGATTATATATTTTTTATATTTCTGAATATTTTTGCTTAAAAGATTAAAATGAATATAACCAGTGGTTATATCTCAAAAACCTACTACGTACGTACGTACCTAATTCACGTCTGAGGTACTAAATAAAAATGTTCAGACCTCCAAAAGCCTATACCTAACTAAAATTTGGACCATCATATTTAACCTTATCTTACCCTAAAACTGCACCCTAACCTTAAGAGGCGGTGATAATCACCACCAGTTATTTGTAGTAAAAATCATTTATGAAAATTATTACATATTTACTAAAACCATAATTTAAACTAGTCAGCCAATTCAAACCAAAATTTTTATTATAATTTGGTTTATTTTGTTTTACATAATTTAGTCGTGATCAAATAAATTTGTTAATTAAAACGAAAGTAAATAGTTTTATTTTATTGCGAGCCCACAAATTGCTGTAAAAATTTTAGGAATTCTGTTGCCCATATTCTCTTTCAAGAACTTCTTTTGAAATTTGCTAAAAAAAAATAATTTATATGTAAAAAAAAATTTTTTCATATCGCTTTTTGAATTTGTTCAATTGTTAAAAATGGTTGATATCTACCAAATTCATGTACAGTTCATCACATATCTCATTGAATTGAGTTCTTAAATTTTGCAAATGTTCTAATTCTTCCTTTGACGGCGCAAGTGTTGTAGATTGTCTATTTTGGCTGACGAAAAAGAGATACACTCAAGCACTATAAAAATAGCTCATACCAATTTCAGGTAACGAAGGGAAAGAGTAAATAGTTTACGCTCGCTGTCCTTGTTTCATTCTAATTTCAAGCATAGTATCAGCATGACTATATACCGCCTAATAAAAATTTTATTTTAGAAAAGGCGATGAAGGAGTTAAAATAAAGTAAGAATATACAAACGTTCAGTGTCGTTTTAAGCACTTGAAGCTTTGATTCAAGATCTGATAGGGTACTTTTGGAAGACGACATTCCGGTTAAATAAAGGCTTGATTAATTCTGCATTTATAAATCGTGTTAAATAATATTATTGGTCAATTAATTAACCACATGATTAAATGCTTGTACTACTGTCGTATTATCGATATAAAATTAAGCATTAATACTGTAACAGTCACACGATTTGTCACATCCAAAATTTTATCATATGATTTTCATAAATTACACAAATCGACGAATTTACAT